AGATGGAGATGAAATATTTTCTCATGGAAATAATAAAACTTGATGACCAACAATTATTTATTGCAATAAAAATCAGTTTCGCGGTTGAACATTAATTGATACTGTAATTTGACGTATTACATCTTAATTATAACTATAACATAAAAATGTTGCAAATTTATAATCAACATCGAAGTATAGATGAGCTATTAATAATTCTGGGCAGATTAAAATAGACATTATTAATTAATAAGCAATCCTATGGATTCGCGAATTATGTATATCTATCGTAAAATGTTATATATCTATATATAACAAATATTTTCTACAAAGAATCATTGTACAAACATTTCATATTCTTGAAAGAATTATCACGTGTACGTTCCATGATTTTACAAAAATCGTTATTTGTATTATATACTTATCACTAGATTGCGGATGTTTATGCAAAATAAAAATGATCTAAGTTAATTGTAAGAAATATAATTTAGATGAAAATGTCTGTTCTCTTGTAACAATTGCAATTACTTGGAAATAGTGTGACAATATCCTAAAATTCACATTTGTCATGAAATTAATTTTTGTCATAAAAATCGCAGTCTACTTAGCACGGCTTTGTATTCGTTACATGAATCAAATTGAAAGCAGGCTATACTTCGAAGTTCTTCGATAATGGAGTGAAAATTAATTTCGAATCAATCACAGCAAAGGAAGACGATTAATAATTACCCGTCGATAAAGTGTTAATTGAACGTATCAGCAAAAGATGGAAGAGTTATTTATTGCGGCCAAGATCTTGCCCTCTCCTCGTCGCGAAATTAAACGTTCCCCGGTTCCGTCAATTCCTGTTCCCTCCGAATCACTTTTGTTTTCCCTCCAATTTAAAACGTGACCGTGCACCGCCACAAAATTGTAATAGCTCCCGCCACTTTTTTTGGCGCATTGTGAATCGTAACACGTTTTCGCGTTGTTATACTCAGCCTGACGTTTCGTACAATTGCCGTGGAATAATGCAATATCAGACCGAAGCGGTGGGGACAAACGAGTAACGATCTTTTCGTGAAATACCGAGCGGCTCTTTTTTGCATAAAATGCAGCATAATGCCGATATTGAACGCAACAGTATAATGGTGTTTTCACACACGAAATTTATAACCGCGAGATTCCACTAAATTCATACGCTGCGAAATAAAATATTACGATGAACGACCGTGGGATGAATGAGTGCAGCGCCATTTTTCTTTTTTTTTTTTAATACATTCAGTATCTAGTAATTTTCAGGAAGCCAGAGAGATGTGAAGAGATACTCGAAATTATTTATTCTGTGTTGAAGATAGTAATAAGGAATTATTCGAATGAACAATTTTACAATATTTATTCGGGTAATTTATTCGAATAAAGAAGTGTACGAATATTATTCGAATGAAGAATTACTCGAATAACATATTCGAATAAACAGTTATTTGAATAAATAATTTTACTATCTCTGCTGGGATAAAGANACAATTTCTATCGGAATAATTTATTCGAATAAAGAGTCGTTCGAATATTATATACGAATAAATAATTTTACGATCTCTATTCGAGTAAAGAATTATTCGAGTAAATAGTTTTACAATCTCTATTCGAGTAAAGGATTATTCGAATAAATAATTTCACAATTTCTATCGGAATAATTTATTCGAATAAAGAGTCGTTCGAATATTATATACGAATAAATAATTTTACGATCTCTATTCGAGTAAAGAATTATTCGAGTAAATAGTTTTACAATCTCTATTCGAGTAAAGGATTATTCGAATAAATAATTTCACAATTTCTATCGGAATAATTTATTCGAATAAAGAGTCGTTCGAATATTATATACGAATAAATAATTTTACGATCTCTATTCGAGTAAAGAATTATTCGAGTAAATAGTTTTACAATCTCTATTCGAGTAAAGGATTATTCGAATAAATAATTTCACAATTTCTATCGGAATAATTTATTCGAATAAAGAGTCGTTCGAATATTATATACGAATAAATAATTTTACGATCTCTATTCGAGTAAAGAATTATTCGAGTAAATAGTTTTACAATCTCTATTCGAGTAAAGGGTTATTCGAATAAATAATTTCACAATTTCTATCGGAATAAATAATATTGCGTAATAAAAAAATAAAAAAATAAATAAAAATAAATAATTTATTCCAATAAAGAACTATTCAAATGAACAGTCAAATATTTATTCGAAAGAATTCGAATAATGCCGAACTCTGGTTGACTGTAACACGATCCATTTCCGCAGTAAACGAAAAACAAACTGTCGAACGAGCGAGAGGGTTGCCAAAACTGTCCCATGCATCCATGCGGGAAGAATTTGTTACGTCAGCGGTCGATGAATTTTCATAGGGGGAAACTTACCCTGTAACCCCCCAAATGTTTGACCAGACACGTAAAGGTTGCGTCCCTTCCGAGCGCCACCGTTAGATTCGTGATAGGGCCGGAGAATTCGGGTGGGAAAGCGCCGCCTGAAACAGATACATACACCCATGCACGTGAAAAACTCCTCCGATCTGCATATCTTGCTCGCAGCAATTTCGCGACATGACATTCATTTACTAAACGGGACGCACTTGATACAGGGTGGCCGGCTGGAGTCGGGCACGCGGGGGATGGAAAAGGGCTTTGTCATTTTTGGGGATAACGACGATCAGTTGCGGACCAGACAGTTGGAAAACCGATTATGTGGACTCCGCTATTTACGGACATTTTATCGTTCCATAAATGCTGCCGTTATTATCGGCACGGCAATAAGTGCTGCGAAACGATACTCTTCAGCTTCGAAAATGGAAATTACAGTGTGGAGCAAGCATTTGCGGACATCGTTTCAAACGGTATAACTTTTCTGTAACTGGATTAAATGTCTTGAACTCTTTGTTTTCGAACTAGTCTACTAGACAATTGCTTGGAATGACGAAAAAAGATAAAAATTCACGTTTTTTAACTTCTTTATCTGAGCCTGTATCGAAAATTTAGAAAATACATTTTGTTGATCTCGATATCTTATATGCATGCTGAAAATTTGATAAAAATCGGTTGACGTTTTTTACTAGTTACAAACAATTAAAGGTCGCGAAAAACGCACTTTTTTTTATTGAGCATATCAAACCCTTGCAGGTTCATTCAGCTACAGATTGCAAACATGGTGAGAGAATATATTCACGCATATATGACTTAGTGTATTTTACGAAATACTTTTGCTTTTAGCAGTTTTTCTTAACACACACAACTTTGATAATGTAAAAATGACTTTTCGGACAATCTAATATTTAACAAAAAATTGAAATTGCAATAAAAGTTGCAATACTATATTTATTTAAATTATACCTTATTTATTACACTTTAACCTCTTGGCATATTATTTTCTTCGCAGTTACTGCGATTGAAAAATTTTCGATTGCAATAATTTCTTAGAAGGGAAAGAAAATTGATGCATATCGTACGCTTAAATTTACTTGAATGCTTAAATATTGATGACAAGAGATCAGAATGTTATTCCAATTTTAAAGGACAGAATAACACACACACACATCTACACTCGATAAATTATTACTAGAAACTTCCACAAGTCGGACTCGTCAAAGTACGTCAAGGGATTTCAATGATCACAATGCACGAGAAAATAAATGTTCCATTACGTTAGCGAAACGATTATCACGTTATTAAACGTTCGGTATCCGTTAAATGAAAATTTTGCAGGATCATAAAAACTCCAACGTGAAAAAAAAAGAACACACATCGTGAAAATTTCAACAGTTGAATAAAACGAAGTGCGGAGGGTTCTGAGGATCATCGAGATCCCGTTAATTACCAGTTAACGAACCCTGAACCGTGACACGGTGTGCGGGTAAACGGTAGTTCAATAAATCGTCATGTTTTTCCGGTCCTATTAATTAATCGAAATTACAGGGCTCGCTCGAGGTGCGTTTCCCTGTTAGAGGCTGTGTTTTCAATTTCTTTGTAACCGGAGAGCTCCGTTACACACGATACGCAAAATAGACGCTGGAAATATAATACTTGAGGATCGATACTTCGCCGGCGTTGCTCACAGCTAGAATAACATTCGAACGAGCGTATTATATTTCGTTGTACGTGCCACCGCCGAATTATTTCGATACTTGCCGCGATCTAGTGCCTACTATTTTCCATCTGCCCTTTCGTTTTTCTTTTACGGGTCTGGTACAAAGGCCGCCAGACGTTTCGAATATTTTTCATGCAGAAACGATGACTCTGCCGTCCCCCCTCGCCGGCAGCGAGCGGCGCGCATTTATTCGTCCGGATACATTAGCTTTACCTTCCCCTCTGGAATGCGCTGAATAATTTTTGTGATCGCGACCCTGTTGTTCGCATCGGTCGTCCCGGCTTAAAATATGTATAAGTTTCTTTTCGGGCGGAATCCGTCGGAAGGAGGGAACCGCAATGGGAAATGTCGAACTCATGGTGACCGTACACCGGCCGCACAATACCGTGTGGTTTGCACAATGCGGCGCGCGATTTCGATGACGAATCTACATTCGGCGCAACCGAGAAAAAAACGACTTGGGCGTGTTAATAGACGCGATTAAACAATAATTCGTAGCCGAAGCGAATTCGCTCGGCAGCGAAATTGAAGCATCAATAATTCGTGGCCGAAAAATAGTCGATCTTTGAAAAATCATAACTCCGCTAAAAGAAATCATAAAATTGTGACTTTTCTCTTAAATTGAAGCTTGAAATCTCTACTTTACGATATTCTATTCTAGTTTTTAATATCAAGCGTTCCCGTGACTATAATATAGTATATCTGAGGGCATGTTCGTGATACCGTAAGAGGGCAAAGCTTAAATGTATTGCTTATTACATTTAGATAAAACGTGCTTAGAAAATACACTCATGTTACACTCAGCTCACGCTAAAAATACACTAAATACACGCTAAACGCACACAACGCACGTACATATGACGTATGACAACTCCACGTGGTGTACCGTTGGTTATTCTAATGCCGACCGCACATTTATCGTTTAAGGTGTTGTAACTTTGCAAAAAAAGAAAAATCGCAGCGACTTAATTCGGTTCTAAACGTAAATGCGAAAGTCCGAACTTTACGATGTTGAGAGCATTATGCTCGAAAAAAATTGTCCCAGTCCATAGAGGGCGTTAAATGTTGCACGGTATCACGAACATATGCCCTCAGATATACTATATTACAGTCACGGGGATGCATGATATTAAAAATTAGAATACGGTATCGTAAAGTAGAGATTTCAAGCTTTAATCTAAAAAAAAAACCCGTCTTGCTTTTATGGTAGCTTTTAACGGAGTTATAGCTGTTCAGAGAAATGGGTGATACATTAATTTTGCTGTCGAGTGTATGACGTATGTACTAAGACACGCAAAACAAAAGACTAAACGAAAACTAAACTCATAATTAAGATTTAAGACTTAAGTAGACCGCGGATTTTTATGCTTTATGACATGTCTAGATGGTTAATTAGATAAGGTTATATTGACAAGGTTTCATAGCACTTTTATTCGATTTTTACCGCGAGTAAAATTACTGTAAAATTACTGTAAAATTACTTATGAAAATGAGGATTTGCACAAGGATCCGCGGTCTAGCAATAAGGTTTTTCGAATAAATGCAGAGTCCTTATAAATGAATTTAATGTAACGTCGCTCGTAAGAGTACAGACAGAAAATCGATAAGCAAAAAGAACTTCATCAGATGTGAACGACAACTAACGACAAACATTCGGAGCACTCTCTTTACATCATACATACATGCAATACGCATACACGTGCCGTCGATTATTTTCCATCAGTACCCATCGCAACTTTGGAATTTTGAAAGCATTAATTTCGCTGTTCACTTTTGTCAGAATTTTCGTCCTTCATCCGACAAGGAGTTTTCCGATTTCGAGTTTTTAAATATCTTTTTTTCGTCAGATGCACCCAGTGCATCTTTTACGAAAAAAATACGGGTTTATTGATCGTCGAACGGGGAACGAAATATTTTTGGACAGCAGTGTATTAACGTCGCATCATCTATATTTATTCTATGTGTACGTGCGCATTAGTGACAACGACGATTTAAAGTAAGTAGTGTAAGTGCGCTGCCGTCCATAATTTTTAGGACACCTATGGGATACAAAGTGAACCTGAAAAATTGCTAGAAACTTGCCCGAGCTTTAAAATTCTTACTTATACTGATAGTATAAGTAGATCGACCTGGCTTTTGGGGAAAATTCGAAATAATTTCATATAAACTATCGAATTTTTAAAGTATCTGTTTTAAAATATCAATTTATATATTGATATAAAAATGAACGTTTGAAATATTTGAATAAATAAATGCTATTTGGAAACATTATATCATTTAATGTAATAAATGAAGTATTGTACTATTTGCAAATACGATTCCATTAAATGTTTGAATTATGAGAAAATATAATTTATCCTAGACAGGTTAGTTTTTTATAGTTCTTAATGAAGCGTACGATAATTTACAAAACAACAATATTATACAAACCGATTTAATATATTATACTATACTGTATAATTATAATATACAAACCGATATTTTTATATTCTAGGTCTAAATGGATCCAAGACCCGCCGCCGGAATGCTAAGCTTTATACTTTATTATTAGCAGCGGATGTTATTCATTTTTGACTAAAATAACTAGGTTAGATACAAAATTGTGAAGACAATTAGAATAAATTGGTTTAAATGACTAAGAGAAGAGAGGCATTTTGACTTAAGTTTCCTGCAAGTAACTTAAACAAATTTCATTTTGCATGAAAATTCGCAGTCTTCTTATTATGTTATAATAGACAAGGCTCTATTGTTATCACTGTAAGAACTAGCTTACGTTATTATTATTATTCAACCTTATCGAAGAAAGTATACACTTTCACAAGAACGAGTAGTACAACACACGTACATAGGAAAACTTAACAGAACATAACATATGTGATTCATCTATACATTGTACATCGAACTTCATGTTTCGTTCCCAAGGCACAGCCTGCAGAGGTAATTTAATACTTGAGTAATAAACGAGACGAGTCCCTATAATGTCTGTAATATCAAACGCCTTTCCTTTCATACAAATTAAATAGTCCTCCATTAGTTCTAACCGTTCTTCATTATAATCTGCATGGATGAAATTTCACGTTCCCCACGATTTTATATGTTGTCACGTCTTTAGAACCCGCGATATATACTCTGCATGACTCTGTATACGGTAATACTATTTGGTAGGATAATGTATTCGAATAATAATTCGGATTAAAAACGTTTACGATTCTATGCTCGATATTATAATATTTTCGATATTTTACTGTGACGAATGCCGTGTGCTTTACTTTAGCTTGTTATGTTATTTTTAGTATTTTACTCTGATGAAAACACTGTGAATTTTACTTTACTTTGCTATACCATTTTCTGTATTTTATTGTGACGAATACTATGAGTAGTATTTCA